GGCCCGGGGCCTGCCCCAGAGCCCCCATTCCCACCCGACCCCGCCGCCATCGCCGCTGATACCGCGGCCGCGCGACAGCCGCGCTTGGCGGCACCGTGGCAACCGCGGCGGACAGACGCCCCGGGGGAATACGGCCGGGGGCTGGGGCCCGATATGCTTTACGGCACTGCCCGCACTGAAGCACCCAGGGCTAAGGAACCCAGATCTGTCGCGAGGGGGACGGAAGGACGACGGGGTCGGAGGGGCTTGCTTTACGGCACCGCGGGAGGCGAGCGGCTCTGGGCGACGGGAGGGAGGGTTGGGGCAGTGTTTGCGACAGTGAGTGGAAGAAACGCCCGCCGCAGGCGTCTTTTGCGACGGAGGCGCGCGAAGCGCCCAAATGCACTTTGCGACACCCATCGCGCGGCGCCCGGGACCCACCCCTTGCCGGGGGAAAAGACGTATCCGAGTGTTCGCGTCCACAGCACGGGTCGTGGCTTCCCGTCACAGACACGCTTTAGAGCGGGACGGACAAAAGCCCGCGGTACAAAGCCACGTCTCCGTCCTCCGGGAGGCCGGCACCGGAAATGTCGCAATCCACCCACGCATCACAGCCCTCCTCGGCCTGGTCCCGCACCTCCTGCCGCCCGCCACCTCCCCGCCCCACCCCGCACCCTGGGCATCGCACCCCTGCAGTGAGCTGACGGTGTAGGGGGGACCGCGGGGGGGGGGAAGCCCGCGGCGGGTCAGGACCAACTTGAGCTCCGAGTCCAGGAGACCCTTGGATTTTAAAAACCCCTCACACCGAGCCCCAGAGACACCCCGGCGGGCCATGTCAAAGGCACCGGGGCTGCAAACGCCCGGAGGTCACCGGAGCGCGCCCGGCAGAACCCGCCGAGGACGCCGCCGAAGCTGGAGGCGCCTCGGGCTATGACGTCACAAGGCTCCGCGCCCCCCGGCCCGGCCCCTTGGCTGTGATTGGCTGATTCGGAGCAGGGCGGTGATGGAGCAGGGCGGGAACAAATCACAGAGACAAAGAGAGCCTCTGGGTGTGACGATTGGGGACGGGCGTGCGGAGGGGCTCCCGGGCTGAGGTCCTCCCGTCGATAGCCTTGGGTTCACCTGCTCCAGCGCCCCGGAGCCCCGCGGCCCAGGCGGAGGCGGTCCAGGCTGACCCCGAGCCCCCAGCGCCCCGCCCACCGCGGTGGGGGCAGGGCCGAGGGGCGGGGCTATGTGGAGCCGGGCGGCCCGGCGGAGCAATTGAAGCGGCGGCTACCGACCGACCGAGTGGGGAGCCATGGAGAAGCCGGAGCCTCTCGCATCCGTTAGCGGCCTCAGTGCGGAATCCCCTCGGGGGGTTCCTAGGGCAATACCTGGAGGTGTCAGAGGTATACCCGCTGACACCGGACTGCCCCCCGGGGTAGCCTTGTTTCGCGCTGCTGGCCCCCTCTCGCATCCCGGGGGCATTGTCATCCGCAGTCCTGGGCCCATCCGGCACTCTGAAGAGGCAGTGACCCTCAGTTCCGGACCCTGTCCCCAACTCGGGGAGGTTGCAGGCAGTAGTCTTGGGTCCAGCAAATCCTCTGGCGCAGCTAGGGGGTCCATCCCTGGGCCGGGGGAGTCCAAAGTGTACAGTTCGGAGAGTAGTCCACAGTCCGGGCCAACTTTTTTGCACTCTCAAAACTTTGAGGAGCGGCCCCGGAGCATCCTAAAAAACAGCAGCTCCATCTTGATGAAGAAGACCTCCAGTGGGGAGAAGTAAGCAACTCAGCTGTTAGCCCGCAGCCCACCCGCAAACCTGAGGGGAGGGAGGAGTTCCAGACACCTTGGGCGGAAGCCAGGAGAAAGGGGGCGGAGTCCCGAGACCGTGGTAGGGGCCGAAAGTGAGACCAGTTGGGAGGGAAGTCTGAGGTTCCAAGACTTGGGGAGGGCGGCCGGTGTCACAAAATCCTGGCCACACCGCCCTGGAATTACCACGGGGCATCTGGCTCCAATCCTAACCTCTATAAGCGAATGTAAGAAGAGTTTTTTGAATGCCTGGGAGAATGGAGGAGACCCCTCTGTTGGGAGAGGGTTACCCGAAGAGCGTCCTCTTTTGCTGTGTCCTTCCCTCGCCTCAGGAAGTCTCAGCGCTGGGATGAAATGAACATCTTGGCCACCTACCACCCTGCTGACAAAGACTATGGCTTTATGAAGGCGGATGAGCCCAGCACCCCCTACCACAGGTGCTGAGTCCTAAGCCTAGCTTTTCAGCCTAGACTCCTGTATTCTAACAAGGGACCATGAGGAAGAGGCAGAGAAGCCTCAGGTACTAGCCCTGCTTCCTCCTCTGCAGGCTGCAAGACAATGATGAGGACCTGTCTGCCGGGTCTTCTCCCACGGTGACCCCTGAATCACTGTCAGAGAGGTGAGAGTCCTCCCGCAGAGCTGTGCCCACTACCCCATACCTCTGAGTCCACTCTCAGACAGCATAGCCAGAACTGATCGGGGAGCCGCGGCTTAGTCCCCGCCCACCACCTGCCCCAACTGTCCTTCTCTCCCTTCTGTACCCCCAACTAGTCTCCCTCCCCCCAGGTTTGCCACAATGGACAATTTCCTTCCCAAGGTCCTCCAGTATGGAGATAACAAAAACTCCAAGACTGCAGACACCTTTGCCAAGACACGTACGTGAGATGCAGGGTGGGCCTTGATGCAAAGGGGAGGTGGAGCGTCAGGGACCCTCCAGGGAAAGCCCGGAGGGAAAGCCAAGCTTCCACACTGGCCCGCAGACTCCAGTGATTTTGACAAGCACCGAAAGATACATTACAATGAAGGGAAGTTCCTGAAGACCCTGAAAAGCCTGCCCTTGACCAATGAGGACGATAGCAGCGGGACAAGTGCCAGCATCAGCAGCAGCAGTCAGAGCGGGCTGACGGACCCGAAGCCCAGGCCTGCCGAGAAAGGCTGGCCAGGAAGGCTGGCCCCAGGAGTCAAAAATGACACTGTCCTGGTGACTGACAGCCGTGGCCTAGACGCCAATGGTTAGTGACGGGCCTCAGGGGACTGAAGAGAATTGTAGACAAGAGGCTGTTCCAGAGCCCATATCTCCTTGAACTTTGCTTTTTTCTCTTCCTTCCTTCCTTTCTTTCTTTTTGTTTTGTTTTGTTTTAGAGACTGGGTTTCTCTGTGTAACAGCCCTAGCTGTCCTGGAACTCCCTCTGTAGACCAGGCTGGCCTCGAACTCACAGATCCGCCTGCCTCTGCCTCCCGAGTGCTGGGATTAAAGGCGTGCGCCGCCGCCGCCGCCGCCGCCGCCGCCGCCGCCGCCGCCGCCGCCCAGCGAACTTTGCTTTTTTCGTATCTGTTCTCTTTGGCTCTGCTTCTCATTTCTCCGCTGTATTCTGCTTTCTTCAGAGCATAGGCTTCCAGTCCTGCTGTCTGACAGAGAGGCAGTGGTTGGGGGTGGACGCCAGGGAAGACGGGACAAATGGAGCTGAGTCTCCACACAGGGTGGTCTCCAGAGAGGACAGTTTGAGGGAACCATTGGGGAATGCAGATCACTGCAGGCTTTCTGAAATGGGGAAGGGTGGTAGAGGGGAACTCGGGACTTGAACTTTTCCCGTCTTTTAGTGGCCCACCATACACACCTAGGGTTCATGGGCACAGCAGGTGGCCACAGACTCAGACTGTCTGGGGTGATTTTTCAGATTCTGCTGCTTTCAGAAACCAGTTCCCCGCAGCGTCAGACTCGGCCATCAGGGAGCAGACTGCCCTGCAGCGAAAGGAGTATTACAGTCAAGGAAGGTACCTGAGGTCCTGTTCCCACCCGGAGATCGGAGAGGCTATGGAAGACGAAGAGATGAACAGTGAGCCTGGGAGGACAGCCAGCCGGGGAGGAAGGACAGAATGAGCAGCTTGCTAGGTGCCCCAGCCCTGGTCTCATGTTACTTCCGGGTTCTTCAGGTCTGACCTGGGTTATTGAGAATCCCAAAGGAACTTCAGGTCCTATTGGAAGCCCCCTTGGGTATGACAAAACCATTTAGGGCTCTCTGGACATAACCATGACTGTATGGCAACCTGCTGAGGGCACCATCTCCCTAGGCCTGGCTCTTAGCAAGCTCCCACCTCCCAGCCTCCCAATCCCTATTAGGCCAGCGCATTAGCAGCAGGCCGTAAGAGGTCCTCACCAACCTGGAGTGCCTACGTCATAGAGAACAGACCCCGGGGTTGCTCAGAGGGATTGAGAATCCCTCCAGCCTAGCCTAAGCCACTGACGTCACGCCTCCTCCTTGACTTCTCTCCACCACCCCACCCCTCTCTAGTTAGTGCCACATCCTCCAGAGGCAATGGGTCTCGGGTGGTGTGGCTTCCCGCTGTTGGGCTAAGGGACTGAGAGGCCGAAGTCCAGGGAGTTCAGAAAAGGAACGTGGAAGTAACCAGAACCCTCTGAACTGGACCGGGTGCAGATGTGAGCCTGGGCAGGCGCAAGGGGGTCCTTGTGCTGACCAGGGAGGCATTGGGATTTAGTGGGTAGGTTCTAGAGATCTGAGGGTCACGTAGACAAGCGCTTACCCCTGCTGCAAGAAAAGCCCAACCTCTTCTCTCTCTAGATGATACCTTGCGGCTCCAGTGGACTCAGGAAAAAGAACCTAGACCGTGGAAAATGTAGCCAGCTAAGGACGGGGGGAGGGCAGCCCTCCCCTGCCCTTACCACTCTACTAGTGGACAATAAAGAGAACATCAGGAATCTGAGTGCTGGGAATTGGATGCCCAGCCTGGACCTGCTCTATCAAGACCTGGGGGAACTGGGGAGGGGTGGTCCCTGCACAATAAAGGAGGAAAGTAGAGACAAGCGAGAGAAGCTGAGAGCAACCGGAGGGGCTGGGTTCCTAGGATCAGCACTTAGGGGCCAAGGCAGCAAAATCACACATTTGAGGAGAGCTATTCCACACAGTGGGATCCTGTTGTTTGTTTTTTTAATTATTTATTTTTATTTACTTATTTTTATTTATTTGTTTTGCCTGCATATATGTCTGTGTGAGGGTGTCAGATCTTGGAGTTACAGACAGTTGTGAGCTGCCACGTGGTTGCTGGGAATTGAACCTGGGTCCTCCGGAAGAGCAGTCGGTGCTCTTAACCACTGAGCAATCTCTCCAGCCCTGGAGTCCTGTTTCAAAACAAGACAAAACCTAGGGTTCTAAAAAAATTCACTATTACTTTATTCACTAATATGGCGTACGTGTAGAGGCTGGAAGCCAAAGGAACTTTCCAGAATCAAGTCAGTGGTGGCTTCTAGAGATCAAACTCAGGTGCTCAGGCTTGCTGCATGGCCCTTACTCAGTGAGACACCTTGCTGGCCCCAAAACCTAGGATTTTTTTTTTCTTTTTTCTTTTTTTTCTTTCTTTTTTTTTTTGAGACAGGGTTTCTCTGTGTGTAGCCCTGGTGCTCATCCTGGATCTCGCTCTGTAGATCAGGCTGGCCTCAGATTCACTGAGATCCACCTGCCTCTGCCTCCCAAGTCCTGGGATCAAAGGCGTGCGCCGCCACAGCCTGGCAAAGCCTAGGATCTTGAAAAGGCCCAGGCTTGCAGCAGGACGGCAATGTCTGGATTCAGTTAATTTACCATCTTTAATCCCAGCATTTGGGAGGCAAAAGCAGGTGAATCTCTGTGAGTTTGAGGCTAGCCTAGTTTACTGAGACAGTCAAAGGCTACACAAAGAAACCCTGTCTTTAAAGACAAACAAAAAACTAAAAACCACACAGTTTACCAAGTGCTGGGATTAAAGGTGTGCATCACCGTACCTGGCCTTGTAACAGGGTTTTCTCCCAGATGAGGAAACCGAAGCGTCAGAGAGCTTGTCCTGGGTCACACAACCTTTTTTTCTTCTTTCTTTTCTTTCTTTATTTTCTTTCTTTCTTTTCTTGTAGACAGGGTCTTACTATGTAGACCACACTGGCTACACTGGCCTTGACTTCACAGAGATCTGCCTGCCTCTGCTGTAATTAAAGGCATATGCCACTGCCCTACTAATCACACAAACTCTTTTTTTTTAATTTATTTATTTTTATTTTATGTGCATTGGTGTTTTGCCTGCATGTATGTCTGTGTGAGGGTGTCAGATCTTGGAGTTATAGACAGTTGTGAGCTGTCACGTGGGTGCTGGGATTGAACCCGGGTCCTCTGGAAGAGCAGTCAGTGCTCTTAACCACTGAGCCATCTCTCCAGCCCTTACACAAACTCTTAAGTGACAGAGACATCTTTGACTCTAGATCATCATGCCTACCGTCAAAAAATTTATTCACCAAAGGAGAAAGGAGCAAAGAAAGACCAGGGTCCCAGAAGGTAGGCGACAGCAGACAGTCTCTGGGGGCGGGGCTGTGGTTTCTCTGATCTCAGCATCCACTCTGCCCAGGCCCCACCCCTGCCCCTCCCAGAGCCGCCTAGAAGTGGTGGGGTGAGAGCTCCTCCTGGGTCACCCCTTTCCCTTTGGGGAAAGAATTGCAGACCCAGGCCCTTTCTGCCAGAGGACCTCTTCTTCCTCATCAGTACCCCTCCTGGGGGGTGGGGAGTGCATCTGCCTACATCCCCACCTGCCTGGGCCAAGCAGGTCATCTGAGATGACGGTCAAGCTAGACTTTGAAGAATGTCTCAAGGACTCTCCCCGCTTCCGGTAAGTGTGTGCAGGTCCAGGAGGCTAAGGCGGGGAAGGAAGGTTCCAATGCCCTGACAAACACACAGCATGTCCAAGGCTGGACCGCTCTTAGAGCCTAGGTCATAAAGAGACAAGAGGGAACTGGGGGGAAATGGTGCATCTGCTATTCAACCCAGGCCTGGCACCTCATACCTGTGATCCCAGCACTTGGGAGGCTGAGGCAGGAAGACTGCTCTGAGTTCCAGACTAACCTGGGCTACACGAGTGAAACCCTTTAAAAACAAAAGGCAAAAGGCAAAAGGCCCATGCTCTCCAAAGCGCTTCTGTTCTGCCCCCTGTACCATCTGGCCTTTATAATTGGCATTCCTTCTTCCTTCTCACTGGAACCCTTCCCCCAGCACCTGCCCTGGGGCGGTTAGCAACTTCCTGCCCTGGCCACATCCACCCTCTCGACATTTCCTGCTCTGGTCTGGGTTATTGAAGCTTAGAATGCATAGTAATAGCACATGAGCAATAACCAGCTCCTGGGTGGGCGGCCATCCTCAATTCATTTGTCTGTCTGTACCCACCACCCCATGACTCCAGCCCCCTCCCTTGATGATAAGCAGAGAACCCAGTGGACCTAAGCTCTGTCCTCATGACCCTGTTCCTCCTTTCCCAGAGCCTCCATTGAACTGGTGGAAACTGAAGTGTCAGAATTGGAGACCCGCTTGGAAAAGGTGATCACAGAGCAAGCAAGATCCAGGATCGGACTGAAATAGAGGGGTGGGCCAGGGAGACAGGGGTACACGGGGAATGAGTTACCGAGTCATAGAAAGTTAACTGTACCTGGGCATGATGGCTCACAATTGTAATCCTAGCACTTCAGAGTCTGAGGCTGAGGGAGGAGGATCACCATGAGTGTGACAGCCTGGGCAAAACTACAGTGAGGCGTCTCTTTTTAAAAAGGGCTTGGGGGGGTCTGCAGAGATAGAGAAAACATCCCGTGCCTTCAAAAGTTTAAAATAAGATGCATTCGTTCATGTGCATTTATATAAGCTCCAGCTCTGACATGCTCTGTGAGTTTTTACTGATGTTTAACAAGCTTGGGTCACCTAAACAGCAGTCAGGGTCTCAACCAACGTTGTGGTCTCATCTGAACCTGGGACTTTCTTGCAGGATCCTGTGATTGTTGAAAATTCTAGTTATATTTCACTGCTGTTATAGGACCGGGGCTAATCTCTAGAGGCCACCCACAGGTCCCTGTCCCAAGGCTTGCTGCAGACATATCCTAGCGTTACTACATGTTGACAGGAAGAAAGTCACTGTGTGTGCCAGTGAGGTGTCACACGGGGCAGCATGGAGTGCCATCCCATACTCGGCCAGTCTGAAGCAAGACACAAGCCTTCCTCTTAAGGAGCGCTTAGGACAAGAGAGATGGCTTACTGGTCCTTGCTGGTCTTCCAAAGGACTCGTTCATTTCTTAGCTCTCAGCTTGGGTGGCTCATGGTTACCTAGTTACTCTAGTTCCAGGAGATCTGATTCCCTCTTCTGGCCTCAGATACTCTACACATGTAGCGCACACACACACACACACACACACACACACACACACACACACACACCATTTTTTAAAGATTTATTTATTTATTTATTTATTTATTTATTTATTTATTTATTTATTTATTTATTTATTTATTATGTATACAGTGTTCTGTCTGGACTTACCCCTGCAGGCCAGAAGAGGGCACCAGATCTCATTACAGATGGTTGTGAGCCACCCTGTGGTTGCTGGGAACTGAACTCAGGTCCTCTGGAAGAGCTGCCAGTACTGTTAACCTCTGAGCCATCTCTCCAACTCCCAATGACTCACATCTTTAATCCTAGCATTGGAGAAGCAGAAACAGGCAGATCTCTATGAGTTCAGGCCAGCCTGGTCTACCTTTTTTTTTTTCTCCAGACAGAGTCACACACACATAGTCCAGGCAGGCTTTGAATTTACCTTGTAGTTGAGCCTGACTTTGAATTCCCAATCCTCTGACCTCTACCTCCCTCCTGGAGATCGAATCCACCCCCTGCATGTTAGGCGGTACCTATATCCCCAGTGCAAACAATTCTTAAACTTTTTTATTATTATTTTCTTATATATATGGCTGTTTTGCCTGGGTATTTGTTTGTGCATCACTTCCATACCAGTGCCTGCAGAGGCTGGAAGAGGGCATTGGATCCCCTGAAAATGGAGTTACAGACAGTTGTGAGCCACCATGTGGGTGCTGAGAACTGAACCCGGATCCTTTGCAAGAGCAGCCAGTGCTCTTAACCACTGACCCATCTCTCCAGCCCCCAAATGTTTTTAATTGAATTGTTCAATGCGAGTTAATAACATATTCGCAGTAATTGCAAAGAGAGGCCATGTCCCCATCAACCTCTCCCAGTGATGACATTTAATGCAATTTTTCCTCATTATCAAACCTCAAAATTGGCATTGGCACAGTACAATTAACAATCAAGTCTACAGGGACCAGGAGAGATGGCTTCCCTTGCAAGCATGAGGACCCAAGTTTGTTCCCCAGCACTTAATAAAAGTGACAAGGCGTATGCATGGCATGCATTTATAATCCTAGTATTGAGGAAATGGAGACAAGAGGGTCACTGGGTTTTCTGGCTACCCAGTCTAGCCTAACTGGTGGGCTTCAGGCTAAGAGAATGAGAAATCCTAGCTCAAAGGAGGTGGACTTTTTTTTTCTTTCTTTTTCTTTTAGGCAAGGTCATCATACTATGTAGCCCTGGCTGGCCTGGAACTCACTATGTAGACCAGATTGGGCCTCAAACTTACAGAGATCTGCCTGCTTCTGCCTCAGGAGTACTGATATCTCTCTCTCTCTCTCTCTCTCACTCTCTCTCTCTCTCTCTCTCTCTCTCTCTCTCTCTCTCTCTCCTCTCTCTCTCTCCATCAATTGTGTGTGTGTGTGTGTGTGTGTGTGTGTGTGTGTGTGTGTGTGTGTGTAGGAGCACATGCTATAATGCACATGGGGAGGTCAGTGGACAATTTCCAGGAGTTGATTCTTTCCCCTCACCATGGGCTCCAGAGCTGCACTTTGGTCCTCAGGCTGG